ACCTGGATGTCTATCTTCTCTACACTCTCAAGCCAGATCCAGAAGTCTCACAATCTTGAAGTCAACAAGCTGTGCCTAGAGGGTATGAAGCTCGCCACTCAAATTGCTTGCCTCTTTGATCTATCTACACCCAGGGAGGCTTTCATGTCGGCTTTGAAAAACACGACGAACTTGAACAACCCACAAGAAATGTTGGCCAAGAATATTGAAGCACTCAAGGTCGTTCTCGAGCTAGGACAGACTGAGGGCAACGTCCTTCGTGAGTCATGGAAGGACATCTTGATGTGTATCAGCCAGCTCGATCGACTTCAACTCATCTCCGGTGGAGTCGACGAGAGTGCTGTGCCTGATGTGTCCAAAGCTCGTTTCCTGCCACCGCAGAGGTCAGAAACCTCTGATTCTCGCTCTTCATCAAACTCCAAGAAAACCACACGGGCCAGAGCAGGAACTGCATCCAAGGGCTTCTCCACCGAGATTGCCCTGGAGAGTCGGTCAGATGAGGTGATTCGCAGCGTCGACCGCATCTTCACCAATACAGCAACGCTTACTGGCGAGTCCATGGTTTACTTTGCCAGAGCTTTGACAGAAGTCAGTTGGGATGAGATCAAGGTGTCTGGTTCCAACGACTCACCTCGTACATACAGCTTGCAAAAGATTGTCGAAATCAGCTATTACAACATGAACCGTGTGAGATTCGAATGGAGCAACGTTTGGGAGGTTTTTGGTGAGCACTTCAACCGTGTTGGATGCCACAATAACATGAACATTGTGTTCTTCGCTCTCGATTCTCTACGCCAGCTGTCAATGAGATTCATGGAGATCGAAGAGCTGGCTGGTTTCAAGTTCCAGAAAGATTTCCTGAAGCCTTTTGAGCATGTCCTTGCCAATTCACACAATGTGACTGTCAAAGATATGGTTCTCAGATGTCTGATACAAATGATTCAGGCCCGTGGAGATAATATCCGATCAGGCTGGCGGACCATGTTTGGTGTTTTCACAGTTGCTGCTCGTGATCCTCATGAGAGCATTGTCAATTTGGCCTACGAAAACGTCAACCAGGTGTACAAAACCAAGTTTGGAGTCGTTATTTCCCAGGGCGCCTTTACCGATCTGATCGTATGTTTGACGGAGTTCTCCAAGAACCTCAAGTTTCAGAAGAAGAGCTTGGCAGCATTGGAACTATTGAAATCTCTGATTCCTACTATGCTCAAGACACCCGAATGTCCATTGTCGCAAAAATACAACAATATCCCACCTCCAGATGGAGCCATACAGAATTCCGAAAAGCGATCCAGATCAAACACATCTGTTGAGGAGGGTTACTGGTTCCCTGTTCTCTTCGCCTTCCATGACGTTCTCATGACTGGAGAAGACTTGGAAGTGCGATCAAATGCTTTGGAATACTTCTTTGAGACTCTGCTCAAGTATGGTGGCACTTTCCCGTCAGAGTTCTGGGATATCCTATGGCGCCAACAACTCTATCCTATTTTCATGGTGTTGAGGTCTCGGCCAGAGATGTCTAATGTTCTCAATCACGAGGAATTGTCAGTATGGCTATCAACCACTATGATCCAGGCTTTGCGGAACATGATCACTCTCTTCACACATTACTTTGATGCCCTGGAATACATGTTGGACAGATTCCTGGAGCTCCTGGCGCTTTGTATCTGTCAGGAGAATGACACAATTTCGCGAATCGGAAGCAATTGCCTTCAACAGCTGATCCTCAAGAATGTTACCAAGTTCAAACCCGAACATTGGAATAAGCTTGTTGGTGCTTTCGTCGAGCTCTTTGAGCGAACTACCGCGTACCAACTCTTCACTGCCACTGCAATCAACAACACGGCTTCCATATCACCGCCACCAAATGGCCTCGAGTTCTCGTCAACTGCTTCGGCAACCACGCCTATGGATGAGACATCCCTCAAAATCAACGGCAAAGAGGAGTTGGAAGATGATCACAGTGTTCCACCCCCTTCAGCTGAAGATGAGCTCCAGACACCGACGGCTGACGCCCCCCATATCGCCCTCGAAGAGTTTAAACCATCTTCCAACCTTCAGCAACAGCCTGTAGTGGTTACAGCGGCTCGAAGACGATTCTTCAACCGAATTATCTCTCGTTGTGTGTTGCAGCTCTTGATGATCGAAACGGTCAATGAGTTGTTCAGCAACGACACTGTCTACGCACATATTCCCTCCGCAGAACTTCTTCGACTCATGACTCTACTCAAGCGGTCTTTTCAGTTTGCCCGCCGCTTTAACGAGGACAAGGAATTGCGCATGCGACTCTGGCGTGAGGGTTTCATGAAGCAGCCTCCCAACCTTCTGAAGCAAGAGAGTGGCTCGGCAGCCACTTACATCTCTATTCTGTTCCGTATGTTTGCGGATAATGCGCCTGAGCGACTGGAGAGCCGGCCTGCTGTGGAGGACGCGTTAGTGCCCCTTTGCAAGGATATTGTTCACGGATACACTACTCTTGAAGAGGAGAGCCAGCATCGCAATATCGTTGCATGGCGGCCCGTTGTCGTCGATGTTTTAGAAGGCTTTGTCACATTCCCTGAGGATGCTTTCAAGAAACACATCCCCGATTTCTATCCCCTTGCGGTTGAACTTCTCACCAAGGACCTTACCGCAGATTTGCGATCATCACTCCTCCTAGTCCTGCGACGAGTTGGAGAGGTTGGCCTAGGTATCGAGGGCATGACACAAGCAGGACAACGGCGAGACAGCGAAGCTAGCAGAGCTACGGCAGAACCGGTTGGCGACCGAGAGGCGGACGCAAGGAGAATGCTTTAGGATGAGCGTCCTCCACGGTTATTGACGGCGAGGAGAAGCAGGGCGTTGGATGGATTATTAGAGAATGTTGGTTTTCATGATGTTGTTCTAGTTGCCCCGGGCTATCCCATGCGGCGATAGGCCAGCCTGGGAATTTGTATTATGAATTGTATCGGGATGTGACAATATACATGTATGTATTCAAACCCATCCCATCAGTGCTGGTCATCATTTGATTGTGGGCATTAAGAGCTGAGAATAACTCGACAAATTCATACTAAATTTAGTACAAGATCAATCTAAAGTTAAGGCAAGTATTTCATTATACACTGTATGAAATCTACCCTACAAACGTCAGGAGATAAAGGTTTGGTATCTCTTTATTGATATGTTGATCTCCAGTACTTAGGTAGGACAACTAGCCTCTCCTTGCTTCTATATTCTTTCTTTCTTTTGTTCCTAAGCTCCGTCGAGATCAAACTGCACCTAGTCGAGGATTCGACTGATGTAACCAGCCAATGGTTCTGCCTCCTCCTGTATGGTCCGATCTGGAAGCGTCCTCAACGCCTGCTTCAGTTCCTGATCTTGTGAAGTCGCCGCCTTGACAACATTTCGCACAATAGCATCCTTATCCGCCGAATCTCCTGCAATTCTCATGATGCTCACGAATGATTCGTAAAAAACGATGAGAGTTTGATGCATGAGCACATCGCTTGTGTCCACCATGTTCAGCGCTGCCCATTGAAGTAGTCCATGCCCGATGGACTCATTGGCGTACTCGGGAAGAGGGAACAGGTCTGGGAATGGGGATATGGCCATGGCGCGTGGATGAAGCGCGGTAAGACGGGGAATGAGTCGAAGAAGGCGATCTTGAGCAAAAGTTGCTTGGCGGTTGATGATCGCAGGACGGCATAGTGAGACGATGAGTTCGAGGTAATGGCGATCCCATATCACGAGACGCCAGAGACTGGCGTGGCCAGGAATGCGGCGCTTGATGAGCTGTGTTTCTGGTGGGCTGGTACCATTCACGCCGTTGGACATGGTTGTTTCAGGAATGACGTCGCAATCCGTCTCTAGCAAACTGCCCAGCACTCTAGTAGATCGTCCACCGACATCTGCATCCGGAGAGCTCAGCCATATCCGAAGGAGTTCCTCGACGACCTCGGGCAACGAAGCCAGGGAATCAACCTCTGCAGGACTGGAGGCAGCCTTCTGAATGATGTTGAGAGCAAGTAAATTTGCGCCAGGAAGCGGTGATTGGAGAGCAGAAACAAGAGACTCTGCACCGCCGAGTGATAGACACTGTGTGAAGGAGAAGGGAGAAAGAAGCTTGGTGGTCAGAGAGAAGACGACGCTGAGGCTTGTAGGATCTTGAGTGGTGGTTTCGAGGAGAGACATAAGCGGAGGGAGCAGAGTTGGCTGAATGATAGGGATGTTTGAAGCTGTAGTCAGTCAGCGCCTAGAGCATCTGAGTTGTGGATGAGTACCTATTTACGTGTGAGTTGAAGCTCAACATCATCAAAGAGCTTGTTATTGAGTGGTGCCGATTCGTTTCCTGGCTCATGAAGTTCAGTGAGATGTGCCAATAATTCTGCCAGGCCAGTGACAGGAGCGCTGTCGCTGTTCTGGGGCACGACTCGCTCAGACATATTTTCTTTGTATGGTGTCAATGAATACACAGCGAGGTTGGCAAGAGTTGATTGTCGTTGTAGTGAAATGTCCGTGTAGGCGATTGCAGTGGATGTAAGCTGCAGGTTCACTGAGGGGTACGTAGTCTAGGGAGCCTGAAGGGAACACCACGTAACATATCGACCGCTGAGAGATGCGTCTAGCATTTCTGTGGTTGTAAATCGAGTTGCAAACACTTGATGTACTGCAAATACATTTATGTTTTCATCCTCTAGCATAGGTTGTTGCTTCTGTAGAATAAAATGCAGTCATGCTCGTCAACTACCTATATACAATCATCAACGGCTGCTCAGCGGGGCATCGTCATGGCGGAGAAATTCCGCCCTCTCTTTTTTCTGCCCGGCGCATTCTTCTAGAACTTAACTTACACCCCGCAAAAAATCATTCTGCGTCAAACCTCAATCGCGAATAGTAACGTCAGCTCTATCGCTACAATCACAGTCAGCCCTACCCGACCCGTCATATAAATATCCCCTCGGCCTTTGAATCGGCTCTGAAACCTCGATAGAACCACCACATTCCACGTGCGCACTCCAATGTCTCGAGGTGGTCGAGGAGGTGGCCGTGGTGGACGCGGCGGCGGTAGAGGTGGAAGGCCTAATGTGCCCTGGGACACAGGCGATGAACCTGATGCGAGACCATCTGAGCTATTTCCCGTATGTCCTTGTCTTCTGTGCTCTATCTCTATCTCAAAGCCCAAGAATTGTGACTCAGTGTGACACATCGCTGACTTGCAAACAGCCATACCTCGTCCCTACTCCCCGAGAACTCGCCTCGCACGAAAAAGCAGCTGTACAACATTATCTTCTACTACGGCATCAAGTCCACGCCTCTCCTCTATACACGTCCAAACGCACAGCTCTCAATGACCCAACAGCACCCCGGAAACACTACGGCCAGGCACAGAAGAATGCCCGCTTCGGCATCAAGAGCAAGGCCTCCCTAGACCCCTTTACCGCCGTGCCTACCTACTCCCATAAGTTCGTTCGCGAGGAGCGTGCTCTTCCAGATTGGTCCAACCGTCCAGTGTGTCGCGAGCTCTTCCCCATGGAACTCTACGAAACCATCGACGCTGCATCTGCCAACGATGGTGGCCTTCCTGGCGGTTTCAAGCGCCGGAAGTTGGAGCTCAGTAGCGTTAGCGCGCTTCCTAGTGCCGAGGAAGCTTTTGGTATGGGAGGTGATGGCGAAGACGAGATGCAGGGCCGTAATCTCCTTGAACGGTTACAGGCGCTCAAGGAAGAAGAAGGCGACGAAGCTGGAGATCTTGAAGATGAAGAAGGCATGGAAGAGGAAGAGCAGGATGAAGTTTACGACGATGAAGATGCGGGCGATTATGATGCCGAGAATTACTTTGATGGTGGTGACGAGTTTGATGACTATGGCGATGATGGCGGCGATGGAGAAGGGACTTACTAGTTGGTCGCCAATTGCTTTCACAAGGATAACAAAAAAGAGTATTTTGGAGAGGGCGCAGCGATCATTTGTATATGTATATATATATCACGGCATAGCATTGGTTTGATACCCAAGTCCGCGATCTTCGTGGTCGTGGCAGATAATGAACTTGACATATTTGGATCAACCCTGCGATGTTGGTCTCGTATCCCTACGAAGCTCAAAGCATTGAAATGTCTAAGAGAATTTGGGTATCTTAAGATATTCCTCGAACTTCCCCCTTCGGTTCTCAATGGCATCGGCAGCTTTTTCTTTTGTCGAGTAATATTCATACATGTCGTAAGGTTGTATCCTCACTAAATATTCTGCTACAGTTGACAACCCCGTATCCTGCGCTTCGCCCAAATAATGCTTCTATGGCCCTTTGTCTTCAAACATGGAACGGACTCTTGCAATGTCCAACAGACTGGTATTACCGCAGCGCATCCCTCTCCTCATCATTTATGCCGCCGTCTTCTACGCATTCATGCCCATGGCGTACACTCCACTGTCCACAATCCCAGCCTGGAGGCGCGATAGCCGTTCTCGAGTGTCGGCAATCTGTCCGGCCTGGGCAACAATCGCACTTCCCGTATCCCTGAGCGCCAATAAAACCTCGTTCAGTTGATCCTGGACCACTACGCTGCCTGCGCTACGGTCGCGTAGAGCTCGGATCTGCTCATAAAGGCCGTTCTCGACACCAGGCATATCTCGCTCAATATCGCCGCGATATTCATCGAGACGAGCCTTGTACTTTTCAATATCGTCACAAATACGGTTGAAGTAGGTGATCAGATCTTGGGCATCCGCATGTGTCGAAGCAGCATCTGCGCCCCCGGAATCAGCAGCTGGAGCCTGGCTGGCGAAAAGACCTGTTTGGTGATAGTGTGTCGGGAGTTTGAGGTTATCGGCGCCTCGGAAGCATAGTCGGGCATCAGCGGCGTTCTTTCGGGTCTGGTCCTGGAGAGCCTTGACGGTCTGAATATCGTTGTTGAGGGCAACTTGAACAGTTCGGAACTTTGACTCGACAAACTTTACGTCTAAGCCCAGTTGCTCAATATCCTTCTCGTGCTGGGGCATGAACTCGCCAATCTCGTCTCGCATCTTGATAACTCGTTGGATACCCAAGTCCAGCAACGCGATTTCATCTTGTACGGGCTTAGCGAGGTCATCGAAGCGGGTACGGGGACGGATGCTGTCGTAGTTGATTTGAACGGCTGAGACTTGGTTTGTGGATTGGCCTAGGGTGTTGTTCTGCTGAGTCTGTGTTTGGCCACTGCTGAAAATTAGTGACTGTCATGACAAGGAGCGCCGAGTAACTCACAACAGACTGGTACCTGTAGCGGGCTTCGCCTGAGATTGGCCGAAAAGGCCTCCTGTGTTGCTTTGTGTATTTGTTGCTGTGGATTGGCCAAACAGACCTGTGCCTGTTTGTTGAGGCTGCTGAGTTTGATTTTGGGTAGATTGGCCGAAGAGGCTGGTGCCAGTTGTTGTAGGTTGCGCAGTGGTTCCTAAATTTCCCCAGTGAGCTCCTGGTATTTGCGGCGTCTAACCAAACAGAGCAGTTCCAATCTGCTACTGACCTTGTTGTTGAGTGTTGTTGGTGGCAGTGTTGCCAAAGAGCCCAGTGCCTGTGGCCTGCGTCTGTTGAGTGTTTGTTGCGCCGGCAGCGCCAAAGAGACCACCGCCAGCTGCGGGCGTAGTTGTTGTCGCTGTCGTCGACTGTCCAAATAGACCGCCTGTTGCAGGCTTTTGCGCAGCGTTGCCAAAGAGAGACATGGTTCCTGTTGCGCCTGGCGCTGTTGTTGTGTTGGCGGTGGGCGTAGAGGTGGTAGAAGAACCGAAGAGACTACCAGCAGCGGAGGGCTTAGAAGCGGCGGTTCCGCTATAGAATTGATTGAGTGCGCCGGTTAGCAAGAAGAGGCCGACGAGGTTGTAGAAGAGAGGAATGTAACGAGCTGAGTTAGGATGGGTAGTGCTGAGCTGGGTGGATATGATGGATGGTGAATGATTGTTTTGTTAGAGGGTGGAGCTTACAAGGCGTTAGCAGCACCAGTGTTGATGCTTAAACCACCTGCTGGGCCGCTTGCTGAACGGATCAATGACATACTAAGGGCGCAAACAAAGCCCTTTGATTGAATGCGACAGTGGCTACAAAGTTAATTTCACGCGATCTGCCCGTGTTTTGACGCTGCGACACGACAAAAAAGTCTCCAAGCTTCTTGGAGAAGATGGCGCTTGGACCATTTTGGTCCCCGGTGAGGCTCGGTGAGTCCCCTTGGAGCTACGGTGAGTCGAGTTCCGGAGAAATGCGGCGCCGAGCGACCAATAGCTGCTTTATTGTGAGAGCTTGAGCTTGACGTCTTTGTACTTACATATCAACTCTCGATATTGACCAATTCTAGCCGCAACTACTTAATTTTACACTTGCCAACCCCTTATTTCCAGAATCGCAAAGATGGATATCGACGACGACGATGATTTTTATGTGCCAGATGAGCCAAAGACCGAGACCGCAGCTCCAGAGGATAAGAAGCCAAAAGCAGATGATTTAGAAGAAGGCGAAGAAGAGGACGAGGGTGCTGCTATGGATGAGGATGATGACTCTGATGAGGATGACTCGGTATGCGATCTGTGACACGTCTAGTATACAGCAACTGACAAAAGATTCTTAGGACATCGACATCATCACAGAGCGCAGAGATGGCACAAAACCAGCACCACCACAGTACGCTACACCTTCAGACGCCGGTTCTCGACGTTACTAACCGGCTTTTCTAACTTCAGACAGTCCAAATATAGTGACATTCGAAACATCCCCCAAAGAACAGCTTCAAGCGATGTGCCAACACAACCTGCGCCAGCACGGAAGGACTCCGAATCACGACCATCGGTTAACGTTGCTGCGCCAAGCGCCGACAAGACATCTGCTGCAGCATCTAAATCAACAATCGACGTCAACGTAAACCCGATTCACCCTGGGACGGGAAAGTCTATCACCCAGGTCAACATTGACGAAGGTTGATAACACTGCCAATTGTTGTCGCGCAAATGCTAACGTGAGCAATTCAAGACCTCCCAGACAGCGACAAGCCATGGCGGAAACCCGGCACCGATATCAGCGACTACTTCAACTACGGCTTCGATGAGTTTACATGGGCGCTTTACGCTTCCAAGCAAGAGACCGTTCGGGGAGAATTCGGAGCCGATGTCTTTGCCCAAAACAACAAGAAGATGATGGAAGACTTCAACATGATGATGATGGGGGGTATGGGTATGCCAGGAGCCGGCAACGCGGGTGCTCAGCAAGGGGGAATGCCTGGTGGAATGGACGGTATGCCTCCTGAAATGCAGGCCATGATGCAGCAGATGATGGCATCAGGTATGGACCCGAGCCAAATGGATCCCAGTCAGATGAACGCCATGTTCTCTGGTATGCAAAATGCTGGAGGAGCGGGTGCACAAGGAGCACAGGGTGGCCAAGGGGGTAACTTTGGCGGTGGTTTCGGTGGCAATCAAGGTGGTTTTGGGTATGATCAAAATATGTCTGGAGGCGGAGGCGGAGGCGGCGGCCGGGGAGGATTCGGCGGTCGCGGACGTCGTGGGAGATGGTAATCGCCTCTCTCCGAAGCCGCCCCTTTCTGAATTTCCACAGACCAAAACTAACGGGCTTTGTCAATTTGTTAATGGGAGAACCTGGCGTTGGGGCATTTTACCGATAGGCATGGGACCATGAGAGATTGGCTCTCTTCACGAGCTACTCTGAAGGACGAGTTATCACTGAGTGTAGGCTTGAATACACGTCTTGGACTTGTCTCTGTACTCGCAGATTATACCCAAAAAACTAGCTTAGCTTCACTTCAACGATCTTTGCTGGCTCTGTCTTTCCATCCACAGGCACTGCATTTGCTCCAGAAGTCGAAATGTACAGAACTCTCTCGTCCTCACCAAACACGCATGCTGTTGAGCCTGCAACATCAAAGGCCTTTGCTTCGCCCGCCACCACCACAGCCTCTCCGCCAGTAGCGGGGACTCGTACTACCGTGTTGGATATGTTGGTGCACATGTACATGGTCCCGTCGCGAGCTAGAGCGAAATCATCCGCGACAAGTCCCGTGGCAAGCGTTTCAACGGGACCTGCAGCCTGGACTTGTTGCGTAACGGGTACACGGTATACACAGAAACGGCTTGTCGTTGTGTAATAGACGTAAGTTTGCTCTGCGAAACGATGGACTTTGATACCATTGAGGCCAACTTGAAAAGGGGCATCAGCTGGAATTGTAAATGTGTCGTCTTCCAAGGCAATATTGTATGATCCTGTGGCAACACTGAGCTTGTATACTTTGCCATAGAGGCAATCTGTGACGAGTGTAGTGTTTTCATCCCATGTAGCTATGCCGTTGATCATGCCAATCTCAGGCATATCGGCTATCTTAGTCACCTTTGCCTGTTCGCCAGCGAGATCTGCGACCCAGATACTCCATGATCCTGGCTTGGGCTTGGCACCTCCGATCATATCAAATGAGCCTGCAGCTACCGCAAAGACATCAGGTTTGATACAACAGATGCCCGTGAGTGCCGGGTTCGGGATGTGATCTGGAAGGGGGATGCGTAGGATATTGGAGCCAGTTGATTTCTCAGGATCAATCTCCCAGACCTCAGGGACATCAAGTCGAGTTGCCAAGATAGTTCCCCTTGGTCTGAGACTGATGTTCTCAAACCACGTTGGCTGGGAGTTGAGTTGGAAAATAGTTCTAGTATTGGACATGTTTTCAGTTTTATGTCGTGAACAGCTTCTAGAAGTTCTAGCTCGTTCAGCCTATCGTATCTTTAAATATTGAGTTGCTGCATGTTGCAATTGCCTTTGCTTATCCGCTGGGTAAACAGGTTGCCACACGTCTTATTACACAGTCAGCCCAAGTAAGACCTACGCGTAAGATGCAGGATTGATCACCATCGGTGGATATCAATTAACAATGACAGGAATATTTCCTTCAGGAGTCAACATAGCTTCCATAGTAATGAAGCCGGATATCGTTTGAAGAGCAGAGGATTATCACGGGCAGGATGCATATGTATAGACCTCCATTCATACTGAGCCTTGACAGTCACGGCGAATGGGTTCTTCCCCAGGTCTGTATTTACAGTCAATTGTTGCTACTCTCCTTCCTCTGACTAGTCAAGGAAACTCAAATTGTAATACTCTGGATGACGAGAATCTGACATAAATGGATCTGGAAGGATTGGCAAGCTCTCGTTGCTGACCCAAATCATTTGTATGGCCAAGAACTACGTGTCTTGCAACCCTTGGTGAGTAGTTTAGTCCTAATGCTCGTTATCTGTGATGAAATTGAATCCTTGTTTGATGGTGACTAGATAGATGGCATGGAGTTTGGAGACAGGGTTATATTTAACAGATCCATTGACCATCCAACGTATACATGTATTGGTTCAAACCAAAGAGTATTTCATTGTCCTAGTGTCAATAAACGGCTCAATTTATACATCACTTGTCCTGAATAGCTCATCACAATTCATTCTGCAGGTTGGTAAACCTCGATAGGGCTCACAGCGAGCAATCCTCTTCCTACTAATCTAAGCGAATCTAAGTCTCTGAGTGAATCTGAAGTTCTGCTCACACCAAGCTTCGAGTTCCTTTCCATCGAAACGAGCTGAACCAGCCTCGTACACCACATCTCCATCGTTAAAGACACAGACATAAGACTTTCCATCAGCCACATTCAATGCCAGTGCATTGATAGAGACCTCCTGGTACTGCTTCTGGCCTAAAACCGGCTCCAGGTTGGCATATTGACCCTTGAGGTCGAATCTGAAGCGAGAGTCCCGATACTGCGCAACCCAAGCGTCACCAACACCAAGCCAAAGACTGTCTACCGCAGACCGAACGGCGTCAGATGTCACTTGTAAGCCTTGACGGACAATCTCATGAGGGAGCTCCCATTTCTCAGTTCCATCGTCTACACGAGTGTAGAAAGTCTTATTAGGACCGAGGTATAGGAATGATGGCCGTTCGACATCATGTTCTGTGTAAAGATCTGTGATCTCCCCATAATCCTCAAGCTCAGAACTGTCTGTTTTTGGTGGTCAGCCAAGTCAATGGCAACAAAAGGGATACCACTTGCTTTTTGCGGCAATATTCCCTCCGGTATAACGACGACATTGGAAGAAGTGAGGATCGGGACCAAGAATGATGTATGCAGTCTTGTCCAGCCCCTTTCGATGATCAAAGTCAAGTTTTGGCTGACCTCCCATCCCTCTATGAACTCGTCTTCCTCGCACGTCAGCAGGTATGATACTCTCAGTCTGTTGACTCACCCGTAACTTCTCGCTGGGCCACTGAAGAAGTAGCTCTCTCCTGCGAGGCTTACGGTGGCGGTTTCATGCGAGAAGTCTTCTCGCTGTGTTGGCCGACCGATAGAGGTACCGGGAATAGAATAGCTAGAGGACATCTTGTAAGGTTGTTACCCAGTAACTGAGTTGCAAGCCGGTTGGAACATCATGGGGAAATGGCCAGTATTTATAGACTTGCCGTGGTAGATATGCTAGTAAATGTTTTTGCCGTTGAATGCGGCACCTACTGCTTTTCTTGTTTCATGAGGCTAGAGAATGGCTTTGCTACAGTCACAATGGTACTACAAGCGGCCTGTCAGACTCAAACGAGTTGTGAAAGGACCGACTGTGTCTGAATAGGGGCATATCGTGGGCGTCTTGATTTGGCGAGGTATCTCGTGTTTGCCGAGTGCATTTGCACGCCATAACTCCATTAACGCGTTGCAAACATTTTCTAAACTGGTCCGTTCGATCTTTGTGATGTGATTAAATTTGTTTTGATTTTCTGTAGCAAGCAAGAATCGGCTTCCAGAGGGTATCGATGCAAACACGCTCCTATACGCTGGGTATTTGTAACACATAGTTGTGCTCAAACCACCACCTCGCCACCCAACCTGTTTTCATTATCACAAAGAGACGTTTCGAAAGATCTGCACTAGCTACAGTCTCCGGATGGCTCCATGCCTACGTGTGTATAGCCAACAAACATGAAATTCTGGTTATGTCCCCAATCAAGCATTAGCAATCTTGTACCTCAGGTAGGTAAAAACTTCTGCGAATCCTTCTCTTGCTGGGCAAAGGATTGCGAGAAAGCTGCCAAACCGGCAACAATGCCAGCGGCCATGAAAAGAACCGAAATGATAGCCCAGATGACACCCCAGCACTGCGATGAGCCACCATATCGTTTTGCAAAAACACTCGCGTCGGACTCGTTGACTTTGCGCAGGATCAAGTCGTCGCAAATATCCCACACGCTGTACAAGGAAGACATGACCCCAATGAATAGGACGACGAAGCGCAGCGCTTGGGCGTGTTCGATGAACCAGCAAGCGATGAGAAGCGCAACGGCGAGCAGAACAGTCACGATGGTAAGCCAATCACGCTTCCCCCACCAGAGCGTTAGCAGGAAGCAAACGCCGAGCACGATACTCGCGATTTTGCTGGCGACGATGTTGAATCCGCAGAAGATGAGTAGTGCGCCGATGATAGAAGAACCGAGATAGCCAGCGGGAAGCGTCAGGGCTTGACTGCCGCCGTAGAAATGTGTCACGCCACCTTCGTTCGGATCAAGACTGATTGACTTGACACGGCCACCTGTGAGGAGAGCAATAAAGGCGTGACCAAACTCGTGAAAGGCGATGACTAGCATCTGCGCATGTCAGTAGCCGACTTGGTGATTGTTTGGTATTAGGGTTACATACTTTGAAGGGCCAGAGGACCATGCGGACGTAGGGGACGTTCCATAGGATAGCTATAACCACAACATAGACACCGATGATGCCCAATGTGACTTGCTGAGTGTGAGTAGGGTTCTGGAGGTCGCGTCTGGCCAGGGTGTTGATGGTGTTTTCCGCTACATATCCCAAAGCCAGCGATGAGGGATCCGGGTGCGGAGCCATGTTGATATCTTTGACGGTCTGAGACTCGTTATCGAAGCGGGTTTACGGGTGAGAACCTAATTGCGACTAGTTGAAGGGACCTATTGGGCAGTGGTGTTTACTCGAATCGCAAAGTCAATAAACGAAAGAGAGGATTCTGAAGCAATGGAAAGCGAGTAAAGTCAGGGTGTGATTGAGAAAGACAGATTTTTATCAAGCCAACTTCCCCTCCATTGATTGACATTTGGCAGCCGACGCCTCGTAAGCCGCCGCTTCACGGCTTCTCTTGGCTTGAATTCAATTCCTTGGTGTTGACGCGGCATTCCGGGGCGGAGCTGAAACAGCGCCTTGCTCTAGAATGTGGCTGGAAATGGCCGTCATTGGCTGGTATTAATAGGGGACGGGGTTGCTAGGGAACACCCTGGAAATACTCCATTAAAACTTTGACTTGGCGACGTCATCTGCCTTTGAAAGAGTGCACACGACCTTGAATCAAGACGATCAAGGGTCCTTTCAGAAGTCGGCGATTAATGTTTATTTATTCGCGGACAATTGGACCCCTGTTCCTATTTTCTTTCTACAATTGATTCTAGACTAGGCCCGAGTCACGCTAGAATCATGCTATAAGAAAATGACTGCTCAATTTGGTGATATCTTCCTGAGCATCAGGTATATCCAATCATCTCATCATTCATGGGAGACCGCTCCATTGACGCGCGCTTCATGAGACGTGCAGGTACACAATACAGTGGCCAGCTATCAAGTCTCCTATCATGGCATTGTTCTTGAAGAGTTCTATACAATGATCATGGCCATCATGACAATAGCGGCAAGCAGTACCAGTCTCTAATTGTGAACTTGCCCATTCCATTTAGCTAGCATTCATCTTTTTCACCGAGAAAAAAACCATCAACATGAAGCTTCCAACTCCTTCTATTGCCCCATCTACCACTGCCAACAGTCTCAGTTCTGTGGACCCAGATAACGAACCAACAACCAGGATTTGTGCAAAAAAAAAAAAACATATTGTCATGATACCGCAGAGCAAGGACCTTGCTGACCTCAGTCGATAACTCAGCTAAGCGGCTCTACTAAACAGAAAATACCACGTTAAAAGCCATGGCATCCGCACCACAGATCCCACCCATACCGATCTTCCCAAGCATCTTCCAAACCACACACAGCGTCTTGGCCTTTATGATGGCCTCCGATTTCGAGAAACAGAGCTACTGGCACAAGCGCTTCTCGTCAGAAAAAGCCTTCGAATGGCTTCTTCCGTCGGCTGATTTCATGCCGCTGGTCAAGCCTGTTCTCGACCGGCTTGACCCGGCCACGGCCCGCATCCTCCACATCGGCTTCGGGACAAGCGACCTGCAAAATCATTTCCGGTCACGGGGCTTCCGCGATATTCTCAACGTCGACTATGAACCACTCGCTATTGATCGGGGCCGCGATCTCGAAGAGCAAGCTTTTGGAGACATTCAAATGCGATATGATGTGCAAGACGCTACGCAGCTAGATCTGTGCGAGAAGTTTGATCTTATTGTTGACAAGAGTACGGTTGATGCGATTTCATGTGGTGGAGAGATGGCGCTGCGGCGGATGGCTGCTGGTATCAAGCGTTGTCTTGCAGATGGTGGCGTTTGGATCTCGTTCAGCTATTCAGCCTACCGATTTGACCTGGGTGACTTGCCGTTTGACGTTGAGGTCCTTGCCAAAGTCTTGACCCAGAAAACATTGCCGAATGATCCAGATATATATCACTGGTGTTATCTTCTTCGGCCGAAACCAGATACAGCTCCGGGTTCACCTATAAGTACGGACGACAGCCCTGCGGGAGAAGGCTGAGACGATAGTGTGCTTTTCAAACGAAAAATGACTATATAATGTATTGCACAGATGGAGTTCCGTTGTATAGAATGCTCAACTTGAACCTGAGGTGCGCCAGCTTGCTGGATAAGTTCTTTTGCCTCCTTAATTGGACAATCCGCGGTTCTTAGACCTTCTTCCCCGTATATAGATATTATTGATAATATGATTAATTAAAGCTTGACACCATTTTTCGGAATGCTTATAAACTAGTTCACTAAGAGTTCGACTGAACTTCATCCTCGACTCAAGGGTAGCCATTCTCTCTACTGGTTGTATGGCCAGGCGACAGAATCCACGTCACCGTGACAATCAAGAAAACATAACTTCTTCCGATTTGTAGCCCTTCTTGGTAGACATGAAGAAAGAAGTAGGCTCTCAGACTGCATATGTAAAAATCTCTCGGGTATTTATATGTTAGGTCTAATGCTGGAACACTGAGACCTGGGCACCACTTCTAAGTTCAATTGTTTAGGTGTGCTGAAGCAAGATATGTGTATGTATCGAGAGCTATTTAGACCGACAAGAAGGATTTTTGAATCATAATAGGAGGGTTTGCTTAACCTAGGGCTTTATTCTTCCTGCAATCGAAAACTTTGCTATATCTGGATGACTTTTGGGCAACATAACGAACCCCATGTTAGCTTCGATATCAGATACATATAAGGCGATCTGAACAATATAATAAAATCGGTGACCGGATTAATAATTTCACCAGAAACTCTTTCTCGAAGAGTTTATTTGAGTCAAGATCCAATCATCGCTAGGTAGGACCTAGGATATGCTCCAGATTGGGAAACCTTCTCAAACGTGCTCATTCCGTGCCAAGACCACAGGCATTCCCAGCTCAACGGTCTCAACCAGCATAAACGAGCCTATCAGGCCATTGATGACAGACACTTACACTTAAGAGAGCATGCATTTGTTAGCTAGAGAGCGGGATGGTGGCATTAAATCTGAGTTAATTTTATGCTTATCGTGACTACCTGCAGAAGCAGACACCACCAACATGAACAATGTCGATCCTGAGAGGGGTCGACAAACTTTAGGTCAAGAGTTTAATAACTCCCAAGCGAATGAAAAAACTTTCCTTATATTAAAGCTTCAATCATTCTAATCTGACTTTGTACTTTCAGGGTTGAACTTTGGGCATCCTAGTTATCCCAGCCAGTTCACAGAAACCAGACCCAGATCATTTATTCCCCTCCACTTCAATTTGAGCAAGATAGACCCCTAGAGCCAAGACAAAACTTGCTCACCGTGGCGTGTTATCACCCCAGCTCACATCTACTCGCAAAGACTTAAGATTCTCGATGCCCACCTCGGTGTACCCAAATTGTAGGATCACATCCCAATAGCTATGTCTCCGTCAAAGCGAGTGGCTCTAGCAGCCCTCTTAGCACTATGTGCCACCGGCGTCCAAGCCGATGGCACAGGCCTCATTGGCTGGGGGAAGACAATGTATAACCCAACATGCTCCTTCGCCTGTCGACAAGTTATCCGAAAACAACAACTCTCCTGTACTCCAACCGAGTCGACCGAGAATCATGGGACAGCGCATAATCCCGTCACAACACCGCCCGATTGTTTTGTGGAAGACCATGTCTTTCTTAAGACTATGGCTCTTTGCATAGACACATACTGTCCCCTCGCAGGGAATCCTTCTATGAGTCTAATCAAAGACTATTGGGCATCGCATCTTGGAACAGGAACTATTGGAAAATATGACTATGTCCCGGTCATGTCATTTGAAGATGCTTTGAGTGCCGCCAGGGAAGACGAATCGATGGCTTCCCATAACACAAATTCGACGTCTGGCCACAATAGTGGTAGCCATCATAAAAAGAGAACTGCTCTTTTCCCGCGCCATGGTGGCCACGATACATCTTCTCACGAAGGTCTAGTAATCTTCAATGTGTCGAGTCCCTTGCCCGTCACTGCTGGCGGAACAGAGCCTCTTAACGAGACCAGCTTCATCGGCCCTGAGGACTGGCAACTCCAGTATAACTATCTCTATGACTTTGAGGCCAACGAGGCTAGCCATACAACGGTGACTCTCACCATCACTCTCGTGGCCATCTTCCTCCCGGCGATCCTCTCACTGTTGAGATTCATACCTGGCCTGACCAAGAGCCGAGGATGGGCTTACTGGCAATCATTTCTGGTTGTCCCAGCGGTGTTTGGTAAGCGACATCGTGAGCCAACTGTCGCTGGCAATGTTCCCAACAGTGGACAAGCACTCTATATCGCCTTGATCAGCGTTCTTAACATCCTACTCTGGCTCGGACCATATACGGTCCATCAACCTCAGGCTGGTTTTGCCTCCCTCAAGATGCAGACAATCAGCGTCGTTGGTAACCGAGCAGGTGACATGGCAATGGGTAACGTTGTGGCATTGTTCCTATTTTCAGCTCGCAACAACATTCTTCTTTATTTCACGGACTGGAGCCATAGTACATATCTCCTGCTGCATAGATGGCTTGGATACTGGGCTATCTTCCATACAATCGTTCACTCTGCCATGCTTCTCGCAAACTATGTCATCCAAGGCACCTACGAAGAAGAATTGGTACGCGAGTACTGGATCTGGGGTATTGTAGGAACAGTAGCAGTGTGTGCGATAGTACCCTGCTCGCTGCTGCCAGTCAGGCAGAAGATGTACGAGTTCTTCCTCGGGTCGCACATAATATTAGCCCTCCTCTTCATTATTGGATACTACTACCATATCTGGTATCTTTATGAGTACAACTGGGGCTACGAAATCTTTGCATTCGTGGCTGGGGGTATTTGGGGTCTCGAACATGTCGTTCGACTAGTTCGCATGGCTTGGCAAGGTAATCGAAAGGCAACGATTTCGACCATTTCAGACGCTGACGGGGAGTACATCCGAATCGAGATTGATGGAAAGCCTCTGGAAAGTGGTGTTGCGTATCTTGCTTTCCCTACACTTTCGTGGCGTTTCTGGGAGACTCACCCCTTTTCCGTCGCACATTCTGGCTCGTTGACTAGTGAAAACAGCCATCAGCCATTGACAACTGGTGCCAAAGAAGAAAGTGTGGCAATCTCACCTAGTTCTGAGACAGATGCTGAAAAGGCTGTTAATATCAATCAGAACACTTCAGTTGTTAGCGCAACTGAGGGGAGATCTACCGTCTTCTATGCTCGGGTCCGAACGAGCATGACCAAGAAACTCGCATCACGGGTGTCTGGGCAGCAGTCTGAAGCACTTCAACTTCGGGTGATCGTTGAAGGACCCTACCATCATTCTGGCGATTTTTCACCTCAACTTTCACGCTGCAAAGATATTTTGGTTATTGCAGGGGGTGTTGGCATTACAGCCTGTCTCCCATATCTTCGGCAAGGCGCTTCAGGCAATACAAAACTTTTCTGGTCGAGCCGCAAGAAAGGTCTAGTTACAGCCATAACACCAGCTCTTGCTGATCTGCCAAGGAGTGTACAGGTCGAAACGGTTGTGGGGGAGCGTTTGGATCTTAGGGGCATCTTGACTCAAGAACTGATTGGAGCGCCAGACGATGGTGCGCTGGCGATTGTCATGTGTGGACCTCCCAGTATGTCTGATGAAGTGCGTAGAGACATTGTTGAGATTGTGAGGAGCAACGCCTTATGCCGGGCCTATGTGCTCTTGGATGAGGCTTATTCTTGGTAGTTCTGGTGGTGGAATGTCACTCAATCAAACAATCAAGATGACGATCTGCCCACTTCACGTAACTTGTACACTAAATGGTCCTGAATCAGAAGTGTTCATCGCTATAAGACTAGATGTCTTATGTAAATCGATCTTCATTTCATCATTTATTATTACCATGTTGCCAACATCATGCCCAAGCTGGCGGGACTCAGCTAGACTAGCCGTTATGAGGAACGCGGACCGAGCGGATATATCTACTTGAACTCTATTCAGAGACGTTCTCGTTTCAAGATGAACTTCTAGATCAAGCTAGATTATTCTGTGTCGCATTGACCTGTTTTTGACGTAAACGTCAATTTCGGCATCGATAGTCGGAAACCTTGAGTTGCACGTAGTCTAGTATGCTCTATAAAAGTTCCTCAGACTACCACCGTAAGCTATCGATGGGTGAATTTCCCATGTGGGATGTTCTCGTAATCAGCATCGTATACTCAACTGAAGAGGTCAGCATTTGCCTGTAATTGGTTCTGTGGTCAGCAAGGTCACGTTGGAGATCACGAGTGCGGCGTTGATCCGAGCGAATAATTGACAAATACCAAGAGTTAGATATGCCAGGTTCAGGTCCAGTTCCAGAGGCAGAGTTCTCACGTTTTACCCCTGGCAGCTGCATCCTTGACGTCCGATGACTTGAAGCTTGGCCCTGCAGAGAAGGACAGTAAGGTAGGTGATGGTTTTGACATGCGGTGGCGTTAGTAACAGCGCTCTGGAACCTCCTGTATATGAGACCACCTGCCTAATGTGTATTTTTCTTTATCATAATTAGGTATGCGTGGCGTTGAATAGGTTATAAGGCTTGGGCCCGAGTGACCAAATAACCACATGGCATCAAAGTATGTGTAACACGACTTGACATGCAGATTGATTGATTGATTGATAGTTGAGGGAGGGAGCTGGTTAGAGTTCCCCGATACTAAGTTAGACGTTGGATCTACGCCATAAAAAGCAAACAACAGAATTTTTCTGATGTACCTACATATAAGATCTGTGTTATACGCCAACAGCTGTCAGAACGACAACCAATGATTCAAAGACCCAACGTAAAAAACGGACCGACCTCACCCAAACCTGTTGAGCCAGCTGCGAAACAAGTGCAGTTTCCAGTGCCCGTTGGCTCAAAGCCCTGGCCCTGCCCTCAGTGCCCTGCTACTCGGCTGTGACATCCCAGCCTCCGATCGTTCAATGATAATCGACTCTTTGAGGTAAAAAGCCTCGGCTGCTCTGTGGATCTGCTCCGCCCGGAAGCCAAACCTCGAATAGCCTAAGGCCCTAG